TTAAAAAGACTTGACGCTCGTGAAATTGGTAACAGGAATCAAATAAGGCCGATACGAGCCATTCGCAGGATGTTTGTGCGGAAACTATGCGTGTACATTTATATATATCCCTTGCAATTGTTGCGGCCTCCTGATTTGGAACGGGCAGTGCTTTGCTAAACTTCGTGAAGCTATCCTGAAAGGTCAGCAGATANTTATTTCCGCTGTTTGTTCGCAACGGTCCGACAATGTCTAGTGCGCACTTTTCAAAAAGTTTTTTCGGTGTGTTGGTAATTACAAGCGGTACCCTTATTTTCCGCGANAACTTATTCTTTTGACAAGATTCGCATTTNGAAACGTAATTCTCCACGTTGCTCGTTAGTTTAGGCCAATCATACTTCATTCTTATTCTTTTTATCGTACATGCTACTCCCTGATGCGCGCCAACCGGTAAATCATGATACTCGTACAGTATCTGTCTTTTTTCCTCTTCAGTTAGCTCTTGCCTCTCGCTTTTCTCTCCTTCTGTTTTCTCGCTCTCCTTTGCTTCGCATGTGCATGCCTCCGCGGGAGCTTTACTCAGCGCGTCCGCGTTTGTATTCGCCTTTCCCTTCTTGTGCATGATCTCATAATCATATTCTTCGAGCTTTACGCGCCATCGCATGAGCCGAGACCCGGGGTCCTTGACATTGAAAAGCCATATCAGTGCCTTATGATCGGTGACACTTNTAAATTTTGTTCCATACAAATAAAGGCTGAAATGCTTCACTGTCCACAACATTGCAAGTAGCTCCTTTTCTGTCGTGTAGTTGCGCTACGCTTTCTTCAGNACACGGCTCGCGTATGCAATCGGCCGATCCAGACCTACCGCACCTTGCGATAACACCGCGCCGACGCGTCGGTTGTGACAACGAACTTTTTATCGAAGTCGGGATATGCAAGCAACGGTGCGCTNACTAACCTTTCTTTTAAATTCTCAAACGCCCGTTGTTGCTCGGGACACTCAAACGCTACTTNTTTTTGCAACAACTGTGTTAACGGCTTTGATATCTTTGAGAACTGGCCTATGAACTTTCTGTAATATTCTGTCAAACCTATGAATGCTTGGATATCTTTTGCTTTCTTCGAAATTGGAAATCCCTTGACTGCCTCTATTTTCGATAAAATTTCCGGTGATATCACTTTTTCGGTTATCACATGTTCTAGATATGTGACCTCTTTGCGAAAATATTCGCACTTATTCAACTGCACTTTTAAGTTGTGCTTTCGTAATGTTACGTCCTGGGGACTCCACGGTCCCCTTTATCTTGCAACGCGACGCGCCAACGCATAACAAACCTTTTTTTTGTAAATAATAAAACGCAATNAATAACTCGAACGGGTCTCCTATCGTTTAAAAACTTAGACTCCAAACGATAAGAGAGCAAACGGAAATCATATCGGTGCCCAAAAACATAAACCGCGCCTAGTAAGAACCCGGAATTTTGCTATAACGAGCAAGAAAAATTTATCGTTTAAACAATCCGAGCAGCTTTCTAAACAAACCCGAATATCTCCGGGTCAAGAAAAACACCGCTTATAAAAATTAGAGCAGCTGGCGCAAATAGAAACTCCGGCCCCATGAGCAATTTTATTATAAACAAATAGCAAGGGGTCTATGTGGCGTGATAAAAAAACCAACACTTTCCCTTTTTCCTTTTCCAGAAAATCGGACGAGCCGACCGAGCCGAGAGATCGTCGCCGATTGGCGATCTCACAAAGTTTACCCGACCAGTAACTAACAAATAGGAACTGGCAACGCTCGACTGAGTTTTCTGATTGAGAGAATCCTCGCTTACTCAAAATTGTATATAAGCCAGAACTCTCAGAACCGAAGTCAGTCAAGAGCCGCTAATCTTAAAAGTCGGAAGTGTCGTGGTGCAATGAGTTTAAAAATGTAAAGTTTGGTGCAGTGAGTGCCAAAGCCGGGACACCAAAGCTGCACTGGTTTCCAACCTTCCACTCCCGAGTGCCTGCAGCCAACCTGACACCGCCGCCGCTCAACTAAGTAGTAAGTGCTTTTAANGAACCAATTGATTATTGAGATTTCACGAACTAGAAATAGAGATTGAGAAAATGAGAGAAAAACAATAAAGTCTCGCACGAATCAGACACAGCAGCCGCAATACTGAACTATCTAAGATAGCCTCTCACCTCCTTTCTTGATAAGAGAGGATATCTGCGGTTTTGAATCGTTCTGGATGACTTCTGATAGACATCCGCGGTTGTGAATCGCTCTGAATAATCTCTTACCTCTTTCCTAAATCACGGAAACAAACAAAGCCCGCTATCTCCGAATATCAGTCGTAG